TAAGTGCCAGTAACAACAGAAACAGTCGGGCTCCCTCCACAGCTACCTCCAGAGGAGCTGAACCAGCATTAGCAGCAGCGGGAAATGTTTGCAGTAGTATTCGAGTGTGGAGAAATCCCAGCATTCCAGCAAGCTGCTGCCAGTTCCCATTTTGGTGAGTTTGAGCATTTAGCATTGCAACATCAGTTCTTCGTCTCATAATGCCGTTTACGTAATGAGCTCTCATTTGGTTCCTATTAAAATCACAGTCTTTCTTCTGCAAACCACCGCTTGTAAAAATCAAGCCACCCAGTTTTTCATTAGATTATAATAAAGGAAATAAATAGTCCTAAATAGTAGGATGCACACTATAATCATTAGACAGAGAATAGGTGTCAATTTTTCCCCTCTTGGATATACAAACTTCAGATCTCAAAGTAGGAATGAGGAAGATCTGTTAAAGGTTACTGAATCCATGTCCTGCAAAACCACTGTGTAGTTACATCCCTATGGCTGTTCCTCAAATAATATACTGATAAAAAAGAGAGCCTACAGCTCCTCGTAGTCACAGCAGCAAGAATTCTCCTAAAGGCTGAAGAAATGGTGTGTCACTCTATACGGATTGTCCCAGAACCATTACCTGTCTGAGGCAGTGCAGAGCAGTTCCTTGTATTATATATACCAGCACTTTGAAGAATTCCGTTTCAAATGTCTCAAACAATGGGGGTTTCACCGCTTCCTGTGGGAGCCAGTTTTGCAGCCTAACTCACTCCACCATCTGGAGTGTTTTCCTGACTGTCTGCCTGCTTGTAATTTTCTTTAGTTGTGCTCCCACTCTTTCTCCTTAAAGGTGACTTGCTAAACTTTTCTGTTTGTGAAATTCATGTTACATGGTGCTTTTTTTTCTTTTTTATGATAATCAAGAAAACCTGAAAGCTTGATGGTTTCTTGTCTTTGCTCTTCCTTCCTCAGAAATAAGAGTAAGTTATAAATAAATTATTATGGCTTTTCGCTCATCTTGGAGGCTTACCAGGACTGCCAGTATGACTGCTCTCTTTTTATAGATGGGAGAACTGAAGCACAGGGCAGGAAACATCATTCAGCGAGCCGGTGGCAAGACCTGGGTTTTTAGCCAGGTCTCTACAATCAACAGTGCCCTACTTTTTTTGATCTATATATTTTTTTGGTCCAGTCCAATTCTTCTGGTGTTGTTGGAGTAGCTAAAACAAGCTTTCTGAGAACTTTATTCAGAATTGTAACTGAAAGCTCATCCTGCTGAATATTTAACAGTTACTATCTTTCTGATGTGTTTGTTAAGCATCCTAATTAAGTACTGATACATAAAACCAACAAAGCACTTTAACAGACTGATTCAGTCCCTAGGGCCTCCGAGCTGAGTTTCCTTCAGCTAGCCTATGTTTTCCTGATTGCGGATTGTCCAAACTGAACGCAGTGTATAACAAGCATGCTGTTATCAGTGCACTGCAGAGAGATTTCCTTCCTCCTCAGTGCCACCATGCTTACTTCACCTGTTGTATTTCCCTTAGCAGCGGTTTTCGGTAAGCCCATTTCTCAGAATCTGGATAGGTACTGAATTATAAATCTTCTCACATGGGACAATAACACTGCAATCAGTTCAGCACAGAGTACCGTGTAGAGACTGATACCCAGGCTGGCACGGAGCTGCTCACCTGGGCCTCAGCACAGGCTGCCCTCAACAGCATAGCACCCCACAGGCTGCTTGCAGCCACGGCATTATACCTCCCTGAGGAGGACATGCCTTAGAGTCTCTGCCTACCCAGCTTGTCTGTGCCACAAGTGTCTCTGCTAAATGTGCCTGAGCACATGAGACTTGTCTTTTCCCAGCCCCCACCTGGGGATGACAGTGACAAACTACCTCAGTGTGGCTGGCAACCTGGTTTCAGAACTGTGACATGCTGATCCCACACTGAACGGGTGACACAGATCCTGTGCCCAGTGCAGCACTTTGTATGGCTCAAGAAATGGAAGTTAGAGATGCAGTAGGCAGAGTCATATACTGTCACCCACTTTTGAAGCATGCCAGTAAGTGAGTGAAGCCCTTACCAGAGGAGTTGTTCCCCCACTTCTCCTCCAGGCCACCTTTATTCCGGATATCACTGAGCCAGAGCTGGAGGATTTACTGAAAGTTGCGAGGCTGCTGAAGGTCACTGAGCGCATTGTCTTTGCTTTCAGATTGAGTTTGAGAAATTACCGGTGGTGTCATGCCTGTGCCTCCTGGCCCTGTGAACAGAGGAAGCAAATGAGCAACAACACATTACATAAAGCAGGGAAATCCCCCTCTAACTTCTTCCCTCCTATCTCAAACTGAAGTTGATTTGCATACATACACTACAAATAACTTTGCAATGGCTTCTAGTCCCATGAAAGAGTTACATGTGCTTGCCTACAATCATTTAGGCCAGTTCCACCAGTTGAATCACTCAGAGAAAATAAAAAAGGCTGAACGAGAGCCTTTGTAGAAATCTAAGCAGTTTTATGTAGATCAGCCTACTTCAGGTAAGGACACAACTGGGTAATGCTATTCCATATGAAATAAACAGTTACTGTTCAAAACCTATTAAGAAATAGTGGTTATTCTAGAAAATGTGTGCTAAAAAACTATATTAATATGTTCATAATTTGTGATTATGGATGGACAGACAGGTGGGTGGGTGGTCTTTCTTTAGCTAAACTTGCAACTAAGCTTCCAATGCAAACCCTGCTTGGTGGAAAATGAATTTTACTGAAATCCAGAAAAAACTGCAGTATCCTATCAATGAAAATGATGGCCAGCTACTTTACAAAACCTGAGATTCATTAGGCCTAGCATTCCTGAGCAATGCTGTTCAAGAAGCAGTGGCATTAAACACACCTTCAAAATTCCTGTGATTTCTTTTAAATGTCGTGGTGTAACAGAAACAAATGAGCAATAAGGAGATAGGATAGTGAAAAAAAAAATGCATATTTACTGGGTTATCTCTGGCCCAGAAATCTACTTGGTTAATCTGACACTTACAAAAATCTTTTACATTATCTTTAATGCTCTAAGAATGGCAACATGCGTAAGCCTAGTACATCATGTCTACAGAATGCCTAGATTCTTTTTGAAAAAAGATGGTATTTTCTGTTCTTTTGCTGAGGGACTTTGCCAAGTAAAAATAATGTTATTTTTCCCATTAACTGGTTTCTTATTTTGTTGAGTTTCAAAGCTGAGAGTTTTTTTTGTTGGTGGTTTGTTGGGTTTTTGTTTTGTTTTGTTTTGTTTTGTTTTTAATAGATAAGAACATAAAGTTTCCAAACTTTGGAAAGACTACTGTTCTACTCACTTTCTTAGCTTTCTGCTGAAATAGTTCTTCAGATGCATTTCCTGCTAATCCTCTTCCAAAGCTAGACAGAGTGCAGACAACCGCACTGGTCATTCTTCTCTACCATAAATTCACAGAAAAGATCTTCTGTACATTTTCTGGGTTTTCAAGCAAGCTCTACATTAAAATAAATAAAGTTGGCTAGGGATATAATTTTTAGCAATGCTACAGATGTCTTACAGTAGATAACAAAGTTGTTTTAAACAGTCACATTTGTGTTGAGGAATTCATCAAAGGTGTATTGGCCAAACTGCATTATGACTATCATAACTGTTATACCAGTTTGCTATAGGAGCAAATCTTTTCTAGGGTTGCCAGTTTTCATATAGTTAACAAGGAGGGATAGAGAAGAGGAGGAAAACTGAGACGCAGCTTACCTTTACAACCCGTGTAAGTCTTCTGATTCTTCTCTGATATCCCCTCTGTTAATACAATCATGTCATGACCTGTTGCAGAGGAATACCTTGCCTTTCACCCTCCTCCTTTCAGCTTTATTGACTTTATTCAAAGCTTTAATGGAGCACAGTAGGGACCAGCCCAGATGGGAGTTGGCTGTTCTGCAGAGCCCTTGGGAGCTGCCCATTCCCCGGGCTACAACAGAACTTGTCACAGTGGATCAGCTGTAGAAATCAGAAGAGAAGTACATATTTGAGTAGAAGCATGATACCTTGCAATGCACTTGATAGCAGCAAACAGGAGGACATGGCATGATGTGACTGCTTATTCATTTTTACCTTGGATATTTTGGTCTTAATAGCTTCGTGTGTCTCTTTGGTTTGTGTTCTTTCCTGTCAATTTGTAGGTCAATCAGGAAGGCATCAAAAGATGCTTTTTTTTTTTTTTTTTTTGTCTCCTCTCACTAACAACAGTCTATTTTCAACACTGTAATCACAGTAATATAATATCCTTTGTTTAAACAGTAAACTACATCCCAAAGCACTTTGCAGCCACTGACATGGGACTAAGACTAAAAGTGGAACAGCTCATACTGGTTAGGAGGAAGGCTATGCTCTCAGCCTAAGTATTACGAAGGCATATAGGGTGCAGCCATAATATTTGCTCTGAATCCAGTACAATTTGCTAATAGTTGGAAAATACACTGGTATAAGCTGTGCTCTGTTTAACTCTAAGAAACATGTTTGAACTGTAAAAAGCAAACTGTGGTAGAGATGTCAGTCCTTTTGCATATTCCATTCTCTATTCATAGGCAGCTACCAAAAAAGTTTTACTGGGAAGCTAGAATGACACAAAGGTCCTCAACAGAAATACACTGGCCCTGGGAGAGCTCTGCCAAAGAGTCATAATGGGAGCTGGACTGTGCGAAGGTTTGCCTACAAAGCACAAGAATAGCATCAGAAACTTTGCTGCACAGATTGAGTCTGGATATTGGTAACTAAAAGGACAGCCAGGCAGTCAGCAGAAAGTACATATATACTTACATAAGTATACTTATATACTATACCATATATAAGTACATCCATCTTCAACCTGTCCGTGAAATTAGTTTATGCTGAAATTTACCTTGATTTGTTTTGTGAATTAAACTGGTTTCCAAGTGGCTGGAGGAAATGGTGACTTTGTCATTTCATTCTTACATGTTGTCATTGAGATGTCTGTCTTTGTTGTGTGTTTCAGATGGAAAGAATCTTTCAAATTTACCCTGGGATGGAACCAATCCTGCCCTGCAAACCATACAAGTGAGAAACGCTGCCTTGAGAAATGCTTTACTCAACATCACTGATGAGACTCCTGGCGATACACCCAGTCTATAGAAAGGTCAAATGCAATTTTCACTGAGAAATGAATGAACAACCCTGTTTTTTAAAAATCCAGTGAAGCAGGTAGCTAGGCATTCTTCTTTTGTCTTTTTAGAGACTAATATAAAAAACAAGTGCTGTTCTCTCTACATGTGGGCCACATTAAACCTTGGAATTATGAAACTTTTGAATATTGTTCAGGTTAAATTAAATTACATAGTAATAAAACTCTATGAACAACACACTGACTCAGTGAAGAAGCACAGGCCTCACAAGCCTTCCTAATTCACCCTGACACCTCAGCAGTCTGGAGGAGCAGGCAGTCAAACACATAGAGCACCAGGTTTCAACTGCATTATTTACTCACGCCTTACTGTGACTGAGACAATGTATGACTTGCTAAGGGCTGCTGAAGGCACTAGCTCAGTGTGACTGACATCAAGTTGTTCCCTGTATTCAATCCTCACATCCCCAGGGAAAGCTATGTATGTGCTGAGTTAGTGCTGATGGTTGATGCACAGTCACCATCAGCCCAAGACATGGTTCAGTGCCCTGCAGTCATGGGGAAAGCCTCACTGAGCATCCTCATGGAAAGCAGAGCACCCTGCACAGAAGTGTGGGAGGTTCAGGTAACCCAGCAAGGGGATCAGTGCTGGGGTGAACAGGTTGCCATCTGCTGTTTGCTGGGCAGGTTTGGGGTGACCAAGGATGTTACCAGCAAACACGAGACCCCTGTTAAATAGCACTGTAGTACCTTTACAGCTGCACCGTGGGAGGCTGGAGAGTTGTCAGGATGAGGAAGGCAGTGTCCCTTTGCTTGCAGCAACCAAGCAGGCTGGTGCGGAGAGGACTGCTCTGTAACTCTCTGCTCATGAGCCTGCTCAGGCAGCTTTGTGCTCTCCTTGAACGAGAAAGTTTCCAAGATTTCATCATAAGCAAGCTACTCCATTTCAATGTTACTTTTAAAAGCTAATAGGTTTCACTCTGGAGAGGAGCAGTTCTCCAGCTTTACCGATTTTATGCTTTAAAGAGATTTTTTTTTAAATTTCATTTTAATTTTGTTTTAATCAAAGTTTAGATTTCCTTCTTGGCAATGTTGCACTGCTGTCCAGTCAGTCAAACACTGCTGAACTTGCTTGTCGCCATTTTATCTGGATATCTTGTAAATATTTGGTGGAGCACTCAGACACAGAAGTGGTTTCTGCTCTTTCAGTCACATGCCTGGTTCCAGGACCTTTCAGAAGTACAAAAGACCGAAGGCAGGGAAAATTCCACTGAGATGCATTCAAGTCTCCAAGGAGCAACTGGACTCTGTTTAGACTAAAATTTCTTGCTGCTCATTCTCTCTCTTCTTTTTTCTTTATTTAAACATGGAAGGATAGAGAGGGGAAGCTGCAGGGTAAGGGTGTTCTTTTTATTATTATTATAAACACTGAAATACAAGTGCTGTATCACTTGTTTCTCTCTCATATTACAGGAACATTTGCAGTTGGAGAGGGAGATAAGCTTTTTAATGCTCTCTGCAAAACCTGGGAAATTTCCACCCAAGTTCTAAAAAGTGTTACAGATATTAATGAATTAAAGCTTAATCTCCTTCTTCTCAGCCCTGTGAAGTAAGGACTAAATACAATTTAAAGACACGGATAATGAATCTAAAAAAGTTGTAAGTGCCTGGCCTGAAGTCACTCAGGCAGAGTGGCAGGAGGACTCAGATCTTTAGGTCCCAGCCTTCTATCTTACACCACAGCCAGGACAGTTCCCTGCCTTTTCAAGGCTTGCCCTTCTGGGATATAGTGAGTACATGCTGGCATTGTACCTGGACATATCCTTGCTTTTTCCCCCTTGGAACACAGAGACCTCCCACAGAGTCATTCCTGTGAGATTAAGATGTTGAAAAGATCAGAGCAGGATGTAAGCAGGGAAAAGGGAAAACAAGGCACTGCTCTGATCTGAGCACATCCCACCTCTGCTGTGGGAGTGGGGTTAGTGAGCAACCTCTACCTTGTGCTCCCATAATGGGTTTAGGCAGGGCTGTAGTAAAATTTTTACAGTCAAAGGGAGATCATGACTGACAAGAACATTGGACAAATGAGCCAGTGAGCCACTCTCCTGTATAAATACCTATGAGTTCATTATTCTCCTCGTTATGAGTCACAGTTCTTATTATCAGAATTCCACAGCTATTGCTGCAGCCATTCTTCGGCCCCTCTTCTGAAGAGAGGGATAATCCCAGCCAGTTCCTCTCCGGTGGCATGAGTCAGGTTTTTACCAGGGCGATTAATGGACAGCTGAGAAGAGCAATTCCAACAGGGATGAGCCAAAAGAAACGTCCACATGACTCATCAAGTGAAAGAGAAGGAAAAAGGGAGCAAAATCAGTTGAGAGCCGGGCAGTCCCTGCTGCCTTCCCCATGGCCCAACCCTGCAGCCCCTCACAGTTCCTTTGCCCTGTTCGTGTCCTGGCCAGCCACAGCACTGCAGCGGCTCTCCTGCCAAGGACCCAGAGTACTCGCAGATGCCTTGCACAGCACTCACTTCATTCCTGCTGAAAGGCAGCCAGGCCCAGGCTGAGACATGGCAAGCGCTTTGCTGCGCCTGGCAACGCTGCCCAGCTGCCGAGAACAAATGGGGAAGAAGGGCTGTGTAAAAATGCAGGGGAATTTTCACATAGGCAGGATGTAATTAGCAGAGTTGGAATATAGCCAGGATGCTGGAGTTAAAGCGCTGGCTTGCAGGTAATACAGTGGGAGCTTTCATAACTCTCACGCTCAGGATCTCCCATTTCCATCTTACCTAGAGGATGTCAGAGGACTGTTCCCCATTTAATATTCCCAGACAGCTTTCTGAGTTCTGACACAAAGGGAAAAGTGTCAGAGAGTGCTGCAGCTGCAGTGTGCCATGGTGACAGCCGGCAGGACCGCACCCCGATGGCCTGCAGCAGCATCACAGCAAAGCCTGGCACTCTGCATCCTGCCTATGGGTTCTTGTGAGCGTGCACCTGCCTTGCTCAGCTTTCGGCCCTGAGCACCCAGCAAATAGATAGAAAAAGGGATGAAAATAGTGCAGCCCCTCATATATTAATTGTGTGAGAGAGGGAATACTGCTTCAACCCTATTCCCTGCCACAGATCGGAACTGACATCCAGCACTCTTCCCCAGTGAGTACTGAGCTTTCCAAATGTGCCTTGCCGGTAATAAGCTGCACTTTTTAAGAGCTCATGCCTCCTCTGTCCTTCCAGCTGAGAAATCACGTTCAAAGCAGCAAAACATTTTGTTTCCTTTTGTGACCTCACTTTCCGTATATGCAATCTTTGTGTTTACTACAAGGATGCTGAATGTCCACAAAAGGTCAAGGAAGTCAGGCAAGAACCTCACGTGTGGAAAGTCCGCACAGCATTTTTACCACAACGTGATCCACAACGTGAAAAACCTTGCAGCAAACCAAAACCCCTGGGAGTGGCAGCCCCACAGACTGGCAGCAGCCCCAAGTGCTGCCTTCCTCCTCACGTGTGAGCCAAGTGGGGTGCTGCCCCCGCACTGGGAAGCACCGCCTGTGTGTCACCTCCCTGCACTGACCTTGGGCTTGGCGTGGGTTTACACACAGTCCCCTCTCTGTTAGGTGTTAAGAAGGCAACCTCTGCTCGAGCTGGGTGGGAGCACCTCAGCGAGCAGGACAATGGAGGTGCAGGCTGAATGGAACAGCCCTGCAAGCTGGAGAGGGGAAAGTACAGGCAGCTGCAGGCAACAGGAAACCTAGCGCTCATAAATAATACGTCTTACAGCCAGAAAGAGGAAATAAACAGCACCAGTACAGAAGGAGAGGACAGAAGAGAGGAACACAGCGTGGCTGTGGTGCGGGAGTCGCTGCATTACAGTGAGCTCATTTTCACAGACCATCGTCCCAGTTTGCTGTGTGTCCTGACTGCAAAGATCAGTTTGGGAGTAGGGACTGGTCAAAGAGAGGGTCTCTATCAGAAGTTGTCAACAGCTGCTGTAATTAAGGAAGCAGCCAGAGCACACACAACCTGAGCGGCCGCCAAACTGAAATGAAAGCATTTTTTGTTTGCAGCCATAGCCCTGAAGGATAATAAAGATAGCTCCAGCGTGCCAAGCTGGGAGCTGCAGAGACATCATCTCTGAGTGGCAAATGCCCCACTCCAGCTATCCAAACTCCCGTGCTCTGGGAACGGATTGCTCCCTGCATGCACTGCCAGCATACGTGTCCACAGCCACCATCTTGGGCAGCTTCTTGCCAGGCTGGAGAGCCCCAAGCACAGTGGAGGTGACGGGTACAGCCTCTGTGAGCTCTGCCTGCTGGCTAACAAGTGCTGATAACTCTAGGATCACCTCCTCAGAGCTTTCCCCTCAAATGCTACAGATCACCATGGCCTGTGGTTTGGCCACCAGAAGCAACAGCTGCCATGCTTGGGACGTAGTGGCTGCTTGTGTTACTGGTGGCTCCTCACCTGGGCCACCGCAGCATCCCAGGCAGCTGGTATGCAGAGCCAGGGGGTGGTAGGACCTCCTCAGCCATGAAACACTGCTCTCAGGCTTTCACCAAGCACTGCAGAAACTCGTGTGCAGGTTCAGCAAAGGGAGAATAGTCATTCACAAATTGCATGCATATTTCTTCATTCATTCATTGAGTCGGGCTTCCCTTTCATCCCCCAGCCCCGCACACATTGCTGGCATTCTCCCGCAATCCCATCTAATAACCTGAAGGTCTCCACAAGCCGCTGCTTGCCAATGGAGAGCACGGCCACCGGCCTGCCCGCTCAGTCACGAGACGTTCCGTGCAAAGGTTTAAAGCTCCTTCCTGACATCAGCTCTTTCCCATGAATCCCCTTCAGTATTTCCCTAATCAGGTTTCAGGGAGGCTTTGCACAGTGCAGGGTGCTAAGAGGGTGGCTGTTGAGCTGCCGCATTTCCAGAGTCCCTGAGCTCTCCAAGTCCTTTCCCTAGAGCTTCCAGTGTCAATGTCTAGATGGCACTGCAGGTGCTTGTTGCCTGTACTCACAACCTGGAAGGACAACAGATCTTTCTCATCTCTCCTGCCTGGGAGGCATAGAGGAGATGCATGCTTTTGGAGAAACTCAAATTGAAGTGATTTCTTTAATTAAATATAGACAAAAAGCAAAAATATTCAAAAGCTGTTTTGGATATACAGGCAACAACAGCCGTTTCCTTACTACTGCCATAAAGTGAAGGAGTGCAGGTATCTCTCTGAGTGTTCTTCTCCACCTGATGCTTCCAGGTAGCGTTTCACTCATGTGCCAGCAGCGATTTGTGGGCTGCAGCTCAGGTTTGCAAAGACAGACATCATGGCTGGCTCACAGGCCCGGTGTTCATCTGGGGCTCGCGTGGCCACCCCACTGGACAATCAACGGAGTGTTTGTCTTCAGGTTCAGTTCTTCTTTTGGAGGGAGGAGGCAGGCTAATCATGAACTGCACCCTGTGCATGTGTTTGGTGGTGTGAAATGAAAAGTTGTACATTATAGTCTGCTTAGGTTGTTCTGCTCTAAGTTCCATCATTACCAACATAGCTTCCAAAACCAAACCATAAATAAATAAAATCTCCAGTATTTTTTAAAATTCTCTGCTTTCCTCATGCATTCAAAAGCATAAGCCTGTTCTGTAGGACTGGCTGACTGCCCGATCATTGAAGAAGGGCAGGACACCAGGGAGAGGCTTTTCCATTTCTGGGAAATGGTGACATGGGGGAGCCTAGTGACCACCAAATGGTCTTTCCTTCCACAAAACGATGTCTTCAAGATACTCTTTGATATCCATCCAGTCAAATAGTTTGACAACTTGAATAAACAAGCAGAAGACGTTATGGGGCTGCCTCTAAAGGAGAGCAGAAACCCAGCATGCCTCTGTCTCTTTGGATACCCACACTTGAATGTGGCCACATCACCGCAGCCTGTGTGGGGTGCGTTCCACCGTGCGTCACGCTCCGGTTGGCAGCAGCAGCCCTGCCCTCCTGGGGGGTGGCACAAAAACCTCTTTATTCCTGAGAGAATAGCGAGGGGATTGCGGGAGGCCTCTGGGAGCCTCACAGCAGTGAAGTGGCTTTTGTCTACCCATGGCGGTACGGTGTCCACACAGTGCCTGTGCTGCCAGTGACACGCCAGGAGGGGCCGGTGTGTGGGGCAGCTTCAGGTGGATGACAGGCTGGGATATCTAGATCGGAGAGGAATCGGTGGGAAACACCCAAGGAAGACCCTGCATTACCTCTGCAGCCTAAACAACAGGGGAGAAGTGACGGCGGATGGCAGAGTCTTAGAACACCTCTGAAGTCTGGGCTACCACACTCTCATTCTGCCAGCACTGCTGTGCAGGGAGACACTCTGGTGCTGGCCTGGCTGGAAATTAACCTCCTGCTTAGTGTTTCTCTGAAACATACTAGAATGTCTCAAAATTTCATCAAAAAAGAAATGCACATATAAATTTATTAGAAACTGAAAAATGCAAAAGTAAATAGAACTTTGAAACAAAATGCAGCAGACTCTCTAAATACAACTAGTTAAAACTCTTCTTACTGCATTTATGCATCGCTGCCTCCTTTGCCAGCACCTCATCCTGCACAAAGCAATAAGCCTAAACAATGCAGATATGCTAAGCAAAGCTGCTCTGAACACGGCTCCCAGCGTAATGACTCACGGCCTTATCCAGTTCCCATGAACAGCATCGGGAAAGCTTCCTCTAACACTAAGAGACAAAAGATGGGATTGCAGAACAACTACATAACTTTTGACCAAAACGTGAAGTTTTCATAAAGTGCTGATAAAAGATTCATGCAGAACAGCGTGGAGACTGACCAAAGCAGTCACAATGCTAGGAATGTTTCAAGTGAGCCTAATCAGTTTTAGAGCCACACTCATTCCCACTCCTGATGTGTGCTCTAAGGGGGAAATATAGACCAAACTTTCCTTTTTTTAAGAAGAAAGCATTTACAATGTCTTTTTTATGGATGTGCAAAAGACTCCCCTTCTGCTGCTGGGAAACCCATTTCCAGCTCCATAAGCACTAAAGTACATCCTAAGTTTTCGAAAGCATTTGTTAGGCAAAGCAGGTCATTTTTTAAGATTTTGTTGTTGTTGCTGTTATAATTGCAGCCTTTCTGTTGATGCCAGCTGCCTTAGTCGTAGGTATCTCCTGGGAGGTGGTGTCTGTCAGCCGGCCCCACGTGGGTGTCCCTGTGGCTATCTCCCATAGCCACCCTCCCTGTAAATCACAGCATATTAAAAAAAAGGGGGATAACGTTGACATGTGAACTAATCCCCACATCAAAGGGAACAACTCTCCCTCCTCTAAACAGCCGCCCCACTCTTTTGCTGGGAAAAGTCTAATGCCTAGAAGGTGATTTACACAAAACTTCATCCCAGTTGTTAGGAATCTTGCAGTGCTGCTTATTAGCCAGCTGCAGAAGAAACCTGGGAATCAGGGAACCACAACAGCTAGCCTGAGGGTTCCAGCATTTAGCAATTCAGGGGGGAAAGAAAATTGGCTTCTTATAGCAAACTCTTGCATATTTTGGTTGTATGGCAGGATAGGCGTGTAAATGTGACGAGTAATGCTGACCTGCGTGGGCACAGTCATATCTGCATGTGTCTGCATATATTTGTATATGCACAGGAGTGCCTGTTCTGACATACAGATGCACGCACATTTACACCTATCTTTTTACCTCTTTGGAACAAAGCGGGCCGATGGGAAATATATATGAAAAATATATGGGCATATATAACTGTGCATCAAGAGGAGGCCTGGAGAGGGCTATCCGCAGCATATGCTCTCTTAGAGCATTCCTTTGTGCCATAGGCCTGGTTTTGAGCCATTTGTTCAAATGCTAGGAATATGTGAGCAAGGTGGATACATCCGTGTAAGTCAAGGTTCAATCATAAACTCTCTTCTGTCCTTACCCAGGCAAATACTCCCTGTGCACTAAGCATACGAAAAGCTTCCCAATAACGTATTGTCTTTGGGACACAACAGAAGAGAGGGTTGTGCCTCTCTCTGCCTGCCCAGATAACCATCTTTTTCCAAATTAGCTCTGAGTTTGCACCGGTGCTAGGCACACTCCTCAGCAATGCCAGTAAAGCAGTGCCAACATCCCGTGCACAAAAAGTATACCGGTAGCTCTGTACTTAGAGCCAATAAACAAACCTACCCACCCTATTTGAAATGAGCTGTGTTAATGAAAGTGCATGAGTACCTAAGTAAGCACATGTAAATGAGATACTGCAGGCCATCCCTCGCCCTGGGCCAGAGGGCCATGAGCACCCACATAGGCAGTGCCACCTGCAGGAGCTGCTATCACTCCCAGTGCAAGCACTGGTGTGGTCTGAGAGTGAATTAGAGCAGGAAACTGAGATAGGTTAAAAATAAAAAGCTTCATTTTTGTCTCTTGGTCAGCTGTAGCTCAGCTGCACTCCCCCATGCACCACTGTGCAGCTGCACAAGTGGGGGCTCAGGAGAGAAGCAATGGCACCAGGGCAGTGCCCGGGTGGCTCCGTGTGTTTGTGATCCCACTTACACGCTCCCATACAGCCTTGTGTCTGTGCCTGTGCCTGTGCCTGTCCCTGCCCCGTGTCAAGTGGAGAAGATGTGAGAGAAACCCCGGCATGGTTGCAACCTTCACCTCCAGCACATGGAAAAACAAACACAGACATTCTCCTGTTTGTTGATTTAGTGCAGGGTGCTCCTTCCATTACAAAACCATTTCCCTGCAGGCAACGGGCTCAAACCTATTTGCTTATTATTCCACAAAAGAAGATGAAGGTTTGGGGAGAGGTGCAGTCTTTAAGCATCTGATCTGTTGATAGAGGACTTGAAAGGAGGAGCCCTCCCAGGTTCCTCTCAGCCAGCATGGCACGTTTCCTGGCTGTGCATAGCTCTTCGTGGTTCCTAGCTCAGGGACGCATGCCACATGCTTATGTTTCTCCTCCACTTCTTTTTAAAATACAAATCTAGTATGGGAGAGCTTTGTGCTTAGAAATGTAGCAAGTGCATCACCCCAGGTACTCCCACAGACACAGCCCTGATCACAGAAAGCTGCCCCCAGAGCCACAGTTTCAAGCACACCCACTCTTCCTGTGCATCTGCACTTGTCACAGCTCAGTCCCCAGGCATGAGCACTGCTGGGCACAAGGAGCTCCCTTCCTGCTGCTCGGGCTGGTGGTCCAGTGGCCACCCCACATAGGACAGGCCAAACACCAAGTCCGTTACTGACCTGGAAAAGCAAAGCAAGACTCTCTGTGTGACAAGCAAATGCAGAGGAAGCATTTGCAGAGTCCCTCCTGGTTACTGGCATTGATGAGGTGCTCCCAGTGGCACTTCCTGCTGCTGACTGGAACAAGACTGGGTGAGCGCTGCAGGAGGAGCAGCACAGCTTATCTGGAGCTGGCACCAGTTTTGGCACTCAGCTAAATTAGCTATTTCTACTTGAAGCCACAGCACTTTGTTTTTGCCAGCCTCCCCCCCCCACCTCCCCACACACACACAATTAAACTGCAATCAACACTCAACACCTTCTTTTCTCGGATAAAACCACCTCTCCTGTTGTTGGCTCCACGATGGACAAAACCACACTCTTCTGGCTGGTCTTTTGGGTGGCGCTTCAGTCTTTGCGTGAACCCAAACTAACTGCATTGAAAAGGAATAAATTTATGGGGGAAGACATACAACAGACAATGTCAAAGGAAAAGCAGATCAAAAAGAATTGCTGGTGTGGGATATGTGGGCTGTCCTTTCGGCTGCTTTGGGACACATCCTTTCAGCACAAGAAAAGCTCAAAGGAATCTGGCTAATCTGTTGTCAAACACAGCACTGTGATGGGAGACGGATCTTTCAACAGCCCAGCAGAGCTGAGCACGCCTGCAATAGCCGTAAGCCCCAGCTCTGTTCCCAGCTTTTCGCACCCATGGCCACAGCCAGCCCAGTTCACACAACAGCACTTCGCTCAACCCAGCATTTGCTGCCTTGGCCACCTGAAGGCAGGCTCCATTTCACAGCCACAGCAGTTGCCCTTGGAAGGGCCTTGGTCGACTTCAATCCCACAGTGAGACCCCAGCCACAGGCCTGAATTTGTGTGGGCAGGACCAGCCCATAGGTCTGCAGTTCCAAACAGCGAATAGGAATGGTGAGCAGTCCACATACATGCTGGCTGAGATACCACAGCATCAGAGCAGAGAGGGTAACAGTAAAAATTACTAGATAAAGAATATGGGATTCCATTGCTTTCCTTCTCTCCTGCATTTCAGCACAGCACTCCAGCAGCATGTGCTACATACATAATGGGTTAATTCCCTTCCCAGTGACTCATTCTTTAGGTCTTCCGAGTAGGATTCGGCACTCAGTGTCAGCATTCAGTGCCACCAGTTTGGACATCCCTGCATGGTAAGGGTGAGCAGAGTGCTGAGCTCGAACAGCAGCACAGGAACAAGAGGGTTTGTTTAGCATTCACCGCATACCTTCCTAAAAAGTCAATGTGCAACACCCCCCCTCCCGGCTCAGCAGACCGCCTGAACATGGCAGAGCAGTTTATTCAACTTTTGTTTTAGAGCATGAAAGGTACTGTCTTGTGAAAGGGTACCTTCTCATTTAACTTTAGTGGCAGACTGTGTCACTGTAATTTGATTTTAAACTATCCACTATTGAGGCTTTCACAAGGGAATCCAACACACATGCATTTGCTCCGTGACAAATTTGACTGTCTGGAGAAACAAAGGTTGATAATTAAGCTAACAGCGGATTATCAGGATGGGGTCTAAGCACGGCCTAAAGCCTCAACAAGTCAATGCCTTAATTTCTGGATACTTATCAAAAGAAAA